TTCCAGACTCACTCAGAAGGTAGGAAAGAATCAGGTCAGCGTCCTTCTGTATACAAACAGCAGCCACAGCAACAATAGTTTAAGAATACAATGGATTAATTTACACAAAAACTAAAAATGAAGAGGTAATTAAAGTCTTTAGTTTTTGCAGGCTGAGAAAATTTCAGTATGGACAGTAAGGGCTCCACAGAAAATTTTCATTCTTTTGCTAATTTCCTGTGTCAGGCACCATCTAAGGATTAAGTTGGAAAGGTCTAAGAGAGTATAAGAAACAGGAATGGAGGGTAGACAGTGCAATTATTGGCATTGAACAATGTTTCTTTGGTGCTGAGAAATCACTGCAAAGCTGGCCAGCAATTGATTTGCAGTGCCATTTCTGCCACAGGAAGGGGCATTTGCAAGAAGTACGCCATGGTGGGCAGTTTTCAGCTCCAATTTCAAAACTTAAACATACACTGCTGCTCACATCAGTTTCTAACTAGGCAACACTTGTGAGTCTCAAACACTTTGTATATTAAGTCAAGGCATCAAAAGTGCAATTTTGGACTCAGACCTCTTCAGTTGATGACAGGAGAAGGACCTCTACTCTTTTGGATACCACAACATTTGAAATTGCCTTTGGGTCTAAATGGAATATTCTCCAATTGCCTGGATGAATGCATTTCCACCCAAAGTCAAGAATCTTAACACCATTGCAGGGCGAAGCAACCTGCTTGACTGTGATTCACTTCCTCCACCACTGACACTCAGTAGCAGCAAGATCATGATCAAGATCTAAAAGATGCAGCTCTTTCCAAACCTGCAGCCACTACCATTTAGAATGACAAGGTGGCAGATACATGAGAACACCACCACCTGAAAATTCCCCACCAAACCGCTCACCTTGCTGACTTGGAAATCTACCGCTTCAGTGTTGCTGAGTCAAAATCTTGGAAAAATCGCTATCTAACGACATTGTGGGTCTACCTGTAGCAAATGGACTGATGGTTCAAGAAGGCATCTTAGTATTACCTTCAAGAACAACTAGGGATGGACAGATTTTCATTCAGGGTTATAGGGTAAAGGCAGGAAAGTGGAGTTGAGCATTATCAGATCAGCCACAATCTCATTAAATAGTGGAACAGGCATGATGCACCAAATGACCTATTTCTGCTCCTATGTCTTGGCGTTAGAAGGAGGATCACTTTCGTATAAACTAGGCCATTTACTTCAACCATCACCACAACATACAAGAGCTGCCAGAGTGCTCCCCTGGGGAAGCCACCTAGATCTGGGCCCAGAGCTGACCTGGCTGAGTTGAGAGTCCTTTAGCCTCAGTTTCACTTAGTCAACACTGATCACAGCATCCTCAGGCACGACAGAGCAGAGTTGAGGTTTACCCGCAAGTAATCTTTTTTGACCTGGATTAACTGCCCAAATGAACTGGAAGTCATCCCAATGATCTCTGTGGACATTATACATCCTCCTTTTCCAGATGCATATCTTCAATTCCTACTCAGAGAAATGAAGACAGTAAGGCAAATTACCATAGCGTCCTTCCCTCTTAGAGATCTCGACATGTCTTCATGGGGAGTAGGATAAAAACATAAAAATGTGATCAGTTTATGATGTACATAATTTATGAGTAGAATGAAAGACTGTGGACAGAGTAAGTGTAGCATAGGGATTAATTGCTATTATGGCAACAGCTGTGGAGTGTTAATGATGTCAGGTAATGTCAGATCATGTGAAACTAGGACCTAAATGAAGAAGGTCCTAATGAACCAGGTCTCTTGTCAATATCATAAACAGTTAATAAACATTCATTTATTTGTATTGGTATGGTTTCCAGTTCTCAACTGACAAAAGCATTCAGGCCCTGGTCATGATATTCAAACATTTAGTAAGGCAATTAGCCCCATTTCCAAAAATGCATTGAAACTTTGACAAGAATGCATAGGCCCACCACTGGCAATTTATGAGGGTTGGCCTGACTTCAAACGATCAGGGTGCAGAGTCCAAACATTCAGTATCAAGATGAGCAGCAACACTGTAAGCAACTAATCTTTATGCATTTGGAATCGCTCCTCCTGCACATTGATCCCTAAAATAAATCTGGTCACTATTTAAAGGATTCTTGAAGGTGAGTGACTTCATCTTGTGGCACTCTTATGAGTGACTGCCTGACAAGTGCTCACGTTTCCCATTGTGACAGCCAGCCAATTCTCCCCTCTATCATTCCGACTGCCCCTGTATTATCCATGTGCTACCCACCATCCCTAACTGATAATCAGAACGGGGGAGGGGGTTGTCCTTTAATTGACCACTGCCTGTAAGACCGTGCTTGTACGAGGACTAGTCAATAAAAGCATCAGGACCTGTACATAAGACACTTCCTCTCAAAATATTGGAAATGGACCAGATTCCCTGCTTTGTGCTTGAAATTCCAAATAGTTCTTTTCATAAGTACTTTATTTCTTTTTCATATTTTGGTAATTATCCAATCCTGGATTGGCATTTTTGTCTTCTATCAATTAAAAAAAATACAAAGGGTAACATAATCACAATGGTAGCAACCATTAGCTAAATGTTTAAAATTAACATGCCATCAATATTTGCACCTGAATGCTTAAAAGCACTGAAATAACACTGCAAATGGATGGCTGAAGAATTCAGTGTGGTACAGTTGGTTTTTCTTTTCTTCAGAGGTTCTTAAAGTTCCCGAATCTAATTCAGTCTTCACTTTCCTTAATCCCACTTTTGCAACAGTCAAAAATTGGTCAGTATGCTTGATGCAGCAATAAGTTCCATCTTTCATCATTATTGTTGCTGTTCCAATACATGAGACAGTCAAATTATTCCAATGACGTTTAATCATGATAATGGAATGACTGTTCATCTGATTGCTTTTGTTATTTTTATTAAATTTGTGGTAGAGAATGCAGAAGTACAAATCAAGCTCTGTATCATCCTGTTAAATTAAGTCAACTGGTGAAACATTAGACTAGACACTGGTACTTTTCTTTATAATAACTTTATTTGCAATATGAAACATTACATACATCTGCTTTATGTCTTACACTCACGTGTAGGCAATCTCTCTCTATAAGTCCTTGATGTAAGTAATTAAATGCTACCTTTTTAACTGTTGTTACAAAAACATAACTAACATATAATTGACACATTACAGCCTGCAGGAAAAAGTCAAGCACTTTCACTTTGTTTTAAACAAGAACTTTTACTCAAAGAAAAATTAAAGACAAAAAATGATTATCACTTTTCATATAAGCCTTAGCAGTACAACACATACTTTTTAGAAGAATTTCTTCAAGCAAGCATTTTGCTTTCAGTGAAGCAGCTTGATAATGTGTGTCTTTCATCAACTCACTTTATGTTCGATATTGTTTTTCTTACAGTTCTTTTATATCAGCAAAGTCAATCCTTAGCCATTTTTCAGTGATATATTTTGTTGCATGTATATATTATCCCTTACAGAACAGTTATTCAACAGACAAACCTTATTGATAATTCCTTATATGTATGAGATTTGCATCGAAATGAATACCAAATTTATAGCTGCAACTAACGGTCATATAACTACCCATTTTGTTTTCTTGGCTTCCAAGCCAAGGACACAGCTTTCTATATTACCCACCAGGAATATTATAAATACAGTTGTACACAAATATTAAAGATTGGCATGGAAAGTAACACAAAAATAGCTAACTTAATATCCATCATGTCCTTCAAGGTTAGAAAGCTTTACATGCGTTTCTCTAAATTTAATTTCTTTGATGTTTTGTATGTGCTCAAGACCTCCTCACTTGCAGCTCCTTCTATCACAGTGATAAAGTCCAGTACAACATATCTGGCATTGGGTTATCTAATTACAAAGTAAAACTAACTGTCCAATCAGGTTTCTTAACTGCTTTTTCTTCCTTAGATGCAATGTCCTCTTCTGTTGATGATCTAGCCTCATTTACTAGGATATGTGTATCACTTTCCAGACATGATTGTTGACTCAAGACTACTCCTAACCTGCTCTGATTAATGCATCTAGACCTACAAAACTCTTCAAAATCCCAGCCATGTGTTTTACTTTAGCCCACATGTTCCATTTGGAAGTAATTTTTCCACATGGACTTCAGTAAAGCCTTTGACAATGTCCCTCGTGGTAGGCTGATACAAGAGGTGAAGTCACGTTATCAGGTAAGCTGGCAAGATGGATACAGACCTGGCTTAGTCATAGGAGACAGAGGGTAGCTGTGGAAGGATGCTTTTCGGAATGGAGGGTTGTGACTGGTGATGTTCCACAGGGATCAGTGCTGGGACATCTGCTGTTCATGATCTACATAAATGATTTGAAGGATAAGGTAACTGGTCTAATTACTAAGTTTGCAGATGATACAAATATTGGTGGAGTTATGAATAGTGAGGGGGATTGTCAGACGATGCAGCACGATATAGATCAGTTGGAGGCATGAGCAGAAAAATGGCAGATGGAGTTTAATCCGGACAAGTGTGAGTTGATGCGTTTTGGAAGGTCAAGTATGGTGGAAATTATACAGTGAATAGCAGAATCCTTTGGAGTACTGATATGCAGAGAGATCTGGGCGTGCAGGTCCACAGATTACTGAAGGTGACTGCGCAGTTAGATGAGGCAATAAAAACGGCCTATGGCATGCTTGCCTTCATTGGAAGGGACATTGGGTATAAGGATAGGCAAGTTATGCTGCAGCTTTATAAAACTTTAGTCAGGCCATACTTTGAATATTATATACAATTCTGGTCACTACACTACCACAACGATGTGGATGCTTTGGAGACGGTACAGAAAAGGTTTACCAGGATGTTGCCTGGTATGGGGGATTTTAGCTGTGAAGAAAGGATTGCTGGACTGGGTTTGTTTTCGCTGGAACAGAGGAAGTTGAGGGGTGACCTGATAGAAGTTTATAAGATTGTAAATGGCATGGATAGAGTGGAAAGTATGAGGCTTTTTCCCCCAAGGTAGAGGGGTCAATTACTAGGGGACGCAGGTTCAATGTGCGAGGGGTTGGGGGGGAAGAGATTAAAAGAGATGTGCAAGGAATGTTTTTCACACCAAGTGTGGTGAGTGCCTGGATTACGATGCCAAAGGAGGTGGGGGAAGCAGACACAATAGCAGCATTCAAGAAGAACCTGGACAAATCCATGAATAGGAAGGGAATAGAGGGATACAGATCCTGCAAGTGAAGACAGTTTTAATATGGAAGGGCAAAATGTGTTGTCACAGGCTTGGAGGGCCGAAGGGCCTATTCCTGTGCTGTATTGTTCTTTGTTCTTTGTATGTTCCCATCTGAGTGATAAGGCTGGCTGTCCCCATCTGATATGACGGAGTAGGCAGCAAATTTTTTTCAGCTATCCAATCAGGTTACTTTGGTTTTTCTCATCAATAGATATTCTAGTTTGTCAGCAGCTAACAAAACTTCACGGTCAGAAGGGCTTTTACTTTTTTAATAATGTTCATAAATTGTTCTGAAATTCTTTCTCGATCACGTGGTCTAGTCATGTTACTGGCTCTATTTGCCCTTCTACCACCATCAGTACTGCTCTAGGGGTCTTCTCACTTCTGTGATCAGAATAGCCAACTCACCACCATGAATCTGAGACCAGAATTGGCTGCAAATAGTTTACGATGTAAACAGTTAGAACAGAATGAAAGACTTGAGTGGTGGTATGGTATAGGAGTTAATGGGTGTTACTGACAATTATGATGTTACTGCCTCAAGTTGCCTTCATATCCCTTTCTGGACGCCTCACACTTCAGCAAAGGTTTTGCCAAAAACTATTTTGTACAGCCAAAGTCACTTCCATGTCAGTTATGGAGATTCGCACTGAGTTTTTTTTTTGTTTTTAACCATTTCACCTCATTTTGTCATAAAAAATTCAAAACTGAAGATGTTGATGAAATTCTAAAGCTACACAAGCAGATTATTCTATTTTTGATATCTTGACAGGATAAAATACAATGATACATTCAGATTTTGTTATTGACTGTGCACTTAAATTTAAATGCACAGCCAATTTACAAGTTAAAATTTGAATTCACATTTAAATGATGTCCTTTTCCTTGTATGGAATATTAAAGAACAACAAGCCTGAAATCAAAGAGAACAATATTCCAACAGGAGCTGCCATGAAAGACCAACCATAACTCACTACTATCTTGGCAATATTTAGAGTTGTACTGCCTTGCTTCATCATTTGAGGTATAGCTGATATCCAGTAGACATACATGACAATAGACACAATGTAAAGAAAACCTAAGGAAAAGAGTGAGGATTAGGTTTAATTCAAAACATTTAATTTTTTGACTTTATTAAATCTTCTTCCACATCAAAACATTTACTCTAATCTTATAAGTGTGTTTTGACCAGATAAATATGAAGCAATTAATGTGGCTAATCTAGTTAACATCTTCGCTGAATATGATTGTTCACGACTAAACCACATTGGTCAAGTTTATAGAATCATAGAATTCCATCGAGTGTACACCGATTCTCAAAAGAGCATCCCAACCCCCTATGGTATCCCTGAAACCCTGCATTTCCCATGGCTAACCCACCTAGCCTGCACATTAAGGGCAATTTAGCAAGGCCAATCCACCCTAACCTACACATCTTTGCACTGGCAGGAAATCAGAGCACCATGAGGTAACCATGCAGACACGGGGAGAATGTGCAAACTCCACACAGTCAGTCGCCCGAAGGTGGAATCAAACCTGGCAGTGTGAGGCAGCAGTGCTAACCACTGAGCTACCATGCCACTTCATATACAGCAAATGAATATTCCACAGAGTTTATTTGGAATATTAGCAAGTTATTTTTTTAAATTATTTCTACAGAACAGGAACTTGCATTGCATAGACTTTCAGAGGCTGATGGAAATCATGCACACACAACCAAAGCTGAAAAGATTAGAAGTGATGAGAACCTTGGAAGAAAAAGCTGATTTTAAGGATGAACTGACAGAGAAAGTGAGATGTATTTATTGAAGTCCAGACTATTGAAGTACAGCCTCAAGGGCTGAAGGCTGAAGACTGATGCTTGACTAAAAAGTAGTTCTTTTTTGTGGGAGTGTTGCTGAGTGTGAAGATTTAACTTCATTCAAGGATAGAAACATTTTGGTCTAGGTCATTCAACCTTTCAAGCTTATTTCACCATTCCAGTAAATCACGAATGATCTATACCACAGCTCCATTAACCCATTTTTTCTGAAACCCTCAACATGTGTACCTTCAAAAATCTATTGATCTCAATTTTGAAAATTTCAGTAGTAGCACTAGAAGATGGTACAGATTAAGGAAGAGGTTTAAACACAAGCATAATAATGTTACAATGGAGGCTTTGGAGGACTGGAGCCAAGGGAGATCAGCAAGAGGGTAAAAAATAATATGCACCCACTGTGGATTAGCATGTCAACAGTATTTTAAAAAGTGTTCATTCATGAGACGTGGGCTTTGCTGGCAGATCATTTGGCAATGATCCCTAATTATCTTTGAGAAGGTGGTAATGAACCTGGCACTCCTAAGGCACAAATGTTATGTAGAAAGAGTCTGCTTCAGTATCTGAGCAATTATGAATGATACTAAACATGGGGTCACCATCAGCAAACGTCTTCACTTCTGACCTTATTATAGGGGTAAAGTCATTGATGTAGGTAATTTTTAAAATAAGGTGCCCCATTTAATACAGAGACAGGAGAATTTATTTTGTCACAGAAGGTCTTTGCAACTCCCAGCTTCAAAACATGATGGAATTTCAATAGTTTTAAAGTCTTCAAATACTTTTAAGGTTGCGGTAGATAGATTTTTGATAAGGGGGTGAAGAGTTACCAGAATCAGGTAGATTGGAAGGTGATCAGATCAACAATGACCTTATTAAATGGCTGAGCAGGCTCAAGAGTCCTACACCTGAACCTAATCCATGTGTCCGTATGAAGCAACTGAAGAAATAAGGTGTAGAAAACCATCCTGAGGAACTCTTGGGACTGAGATGGTTGGCCTCCAAAAACTACAACTATTTTTCTTTTACTGAAAAATATGCTTTAAGTAGCATGTCATGCTTTAAGTGATCCCACCATCAGGTTACATGGCACAATAGGGCTGATATCATGAACATTTCTCTTAAAGGCATACTGTCATGCTGTATCTTACAATGTACTGAGCATGAGATATAACATGATACCTGATATTGCTTGCATACTGTGTGCCTCTATCAGTGAGAATCATGTTTAGTTAGAGTAACGTCTCTTCAAGGAACAGACAGTGGTCACGCAAAGAGGAAAAACCTGCTTTGAAATGTTAATTTAGAATGTGCACCTTAAAGCGTGGTAAAAATTTATCCCTTGGAATTGTGACAGTTGATTAAAATTAATTGAAAAAAGAAAAATTAAGTCAAAAGACGTAACTTATCTCCTCCTACTTGAAAATAATGTACTATCTGTGTTGTGTTTGGATGGAGGAAAGCGGCCTGGGTAAATTTTAATTTCAGAAACTTGATGTTTAAATTACCATGTTTGGAATTTCATTTTCTGGTCAGAGTGAACTTTCAAATATTGTTTTAACACATGAGGGAATCTTTCATTCTGGATGATAAGATGTGCTCATTGTAAATGTACTTTGGCGTGAAAGTATCCAAGTAATAGAGAAATTAGAATTTTGAAAATGCAATTCTCTTTGAACAAAATTATGTGATGGTATGTTTTAAAATCTGAGAAAACTAATAGAGGAATTAAAAACTAGAGTACAATCTAACAAAAGAGGCGGGCTTTTCCTTTGTTAATTGTAACATATTTATTACTGCACAGGAGGAACAGAAGCCGTTGACATAATTACATCCAGCAATTCTCACCCCTTAAACAACTACTAATCAACCCATTCTGCTTGAAGTGAAATGGATGGGTGTTGTTTTATCTTTCAGTGACTGGAAGATACTGAAGGCTTTCACTGATGACTACAAACTTCTGAATCTGTCTGCAGACTTTCAATGTCACAATACAGTGATGGATGAGGCATCCTCAACCCATCCAGCCATTCCCTAACAACACATCTCAGTAGTTGGAGAACTACTATTACAACATCAAATGTATTAAGTATCAGGAGTCTCAAAACCACTAAGCCTGGGTACACTTATTCACGTGGCCTGGCATTCTGAAACATTTAGAGGAAAGAGTTATTCAAAAATTTTAAATGATCCTGGAAAATGATAAAGTGCATGCATACAGTCTTAATGGTTTCAATGCATAAAAATTTGTTAGTGACTTTGAGGGAGTAAATAGAATTTTGTATTTGGATAAATTTACATAGAAATATATCACATATCTAGAATGAGTTATCAAGTAACTTTTAAAAATGTGGATCATCTGAGAGAAAGAACAAACAAAGTATATTCTGCCTGAATCAAACAGAAATGTTTGACTTCTGTTTTAAAATATTACAAGATTATGTTTCATGAACTACAAATCTCCCCATAGCTCTGGAGTTAGACGGGTGGTAACAGTTAAGTTACAAAATTGGATGAGACGAAGTAATTAAGGGTGGAGTCTGGTGGCAGAAGAGAAAAAATTAGAATAATAAGTTGAAACTGTAATTGAGGTTAAAATGCATTTTAGTAAAAAGGAAGTTTAGATAAGAGCACTAAACTGACAGGTTTCTCTTTGTTTGTGTCCTCCTCTTTCATTTTAAGAGAACTGAATTTGATGATCAAGCCACTACTCAAGGAATTGGGACCATACGGGGAGAGATAAGTAAAGCCTCATCAATCATTTGATAAGATTATATGGGAGTCAAGAATGCGTGACATGGTCTTGGGATGCCAATGTAAGTGTGCAAAAGTGAATGTTATCCCCAAGGGAACAAACATGAGGTAAAAGAAAATGCACTGAAGATCAGGTCTCAGACATGTACACCTGCTTGACAAAAGGATTAGTAGCTTGGAAGAGCACAAAAGCATAGTTTAAACAATAAGACACTGATACATAATCCATTGAGAAACCGACTTTTAACCAATGAAAGTAGTATTAGTGAAAGGGAGGTAAAAAAGGTCGAGATAAGGTGTGATTGGCAGAGGGAGTACAACATGGGAAAGTGTGAGGTCATGCACTTTGGTAAGAAGAATAAAAACATGGACTATTTTCTAAATGGGGAGAAAATTCAGAAGTATGAAGTGCAAAGAGACATGGGAGTTCCAGTCCAGGTTTTTCTCAATGTAAACCTGCAGGTTGAGTCAGCAGTTAGGAAGCCAAATGCAACTTTGGTATATATTTTGAGAGGACTTGCGTATAAAAGCAGAGATGTACTTTTGAGGGTCTATAAAGCTCTGGTCAGGCCACATTTGGAGCATTGTGTGCAGTTTTGGACCCCATATCTCAGGAAGGATGTACTGGCCCTGGAGCGGTTTCAGACGAGGTTTACAAAAATGGTCCCAGAAATGAAAAGCTTAACATATGAGGAACGTTTGAGGTCTCTAGGTCTATACTCGATCGAGTTTAGAAGGATGAGGGGGGATCTAACTGAAACTTACAGAATACTGAATGGCCTGGACACATGGATGTGGGTAAGATGTTTCCATTGATAGGAGAGTCTAGGACCCAAGGGCACAGCCTTAGAGTAAAGGAAAGACCTTTTAGAACAGGGATAAGGAGAAACTTCTTCAGCCAGAGAGTGGTGAATCTATGGAATTCATTGCCACAGCAGGCTGTGGAGGCCAGGTCATTGAGTATATTTAAGATGGAGATAGATAGATGCTTGATTCTGAAAGAGATCAAGGGTTTCAGGGAGAAAGCGAGAGAATGGGGTTGAGAAAATTAACAGACTCGATGGGCTGAATGGCCAAATTTCTGCTCCAATGTCTTATGGTCTTATGTCAAAATATTACAGAAATAAAGAAATGTGGACTCTGGGAGGAGTGACAGTGAGCTGGAGTGAAAGGGCCCATCGGATGACATACAAATACCGAATCTTCAGCGGTTGAATGATGAATATACTTCAGTGTTTAAACCAGTGGATCAAATTGTAATGTATTAGGACAGTTAGTGTACGTGAAAGAAAGCCAAGCTAAGGCTTAGGCAGTGTGGGAGTCTGTAGTAAGGATACCTCCAAAAAAGGGGCGGGAATCAAAAGCAAAAGGTAAAGCCTGGTGAATGCACTGTAATTTGTTTGAGCTGTATTGTTTCATAGTATGAAACTGCAGCTAAGGGGGGTACTAACATGTGGAAGTAGTACCACTCAAAGATACAATCATTCACAAAATTGGCAAGGAAGGAAACATATTGAAGAAATATCCTCAAGATGGACATAGATGAAGACAGCTGGAGAAATTTTGATTCCATGTGTGACATTGTTTTAATGTTATTGGGTGAGGTGATCTGTGGATAGAGAACTGGAGAATTTTTAAAAAACACAAATTAAGGAGCATGGATCTGAAATATAGTGAATATAGTAATAGATTAACTGAAAGAAAAAAAATGTAGACAACATTCTGATCGCCTCAGTTGACGAAAAGGAACGTATCCAGATATTAAACAGAGTACTGAGTCAGGTCAGGCAGGCGGAGCTTAAAATTATCCCACAAAAGGTGCAATTGGGAAAGCAGGAATGGGATGTCAAACCAGGAAGGGTGAGAAAACAGTCTCAGCAGAATGAAAGACTGCAACTTTATAAATACCCCATCCACATACCGTGGTGGCGGGGTTAGGCAAATTTTACGATTATTTAATTATTGTCACAACTATAGTAAGAACTAAATTCCTTTTGTATCTCCTGTGATTAGGACAGCGGGAAATATAAGACGAGTAACAGAATTTGATAGGGATAGCAATTAATGCGATGAAGAACAGAAATCAAGTAGTCCTTAGATATAAGGAAGTCTGGGAAATGTCCAAAGGAATATAAACATTGACACTGGAATGTGTTTTAATGGGATGCATTGTGAGATCCCAAGGCCTGATGATTGCTGCGTCCAGCAGCTATTGAAGTCAGGGCAGCATTGAAAACCGTTCCTACGAATACTGAAACATGAGCAATGAGAACAAGCGGACCCTGCCGTCATTGCGGGAAAAAAGTGGATCAAGACCACCAAGGGGGCGCGTGAAATCACCAAGCAATGGAACGTCATCTCTAAAGACATTGGTAAGCAAAAAGAGACTGCTGAAAAGACTTCTACACACACTTTATTTTGGACTAGAACATGGGATTGGAGCATGAAAGCCAACATTCACCCCTGGATAAGAATTATCCTTCACACTCTTGTGATAGTACAGCTGTCAGAAACTATTATGTTGTGTATGCACTCCTGCAGCCTGAGGAGATGTGTAGGGAAATACAAGAAGAGGCATGGCAAAGACAGACCATTACTGATTCAAGATTGCCTGCAAGGAAGTGGAAAAAATAGAAATAAAAAAAAATGAATATCTCCATAGTTTAAGTAGTGTCCCTATGGACACTATCTGGCCATGGGCCAAAAGGGGGGACTGTTACGGCTGCCTATGATTGAGCGGCACAAAATGGCCGACAACTGCCCCTGGCAAGTTCTGCAGAACATGGCTGACAGTAGTTACAGTGCATGGGAAAATACCTCCTTAACATAGTCTCAGCAAGTAGAACAATAGCACGTCTGCATTAAATGAGATAGAGTGTGCAGCTGCAATTGCTTACATAGATAAGAACATTTCACACTAATTAGTTGTTTCTCTTGACTTAATTAATCAATCTGTTACAATATTAAGAGGAGGCTTTAGTTAAGATCCTTCAGCTAATCAGAGATATAGATTCTGAAGTAGTTATAGATCCACTTATGTACAAATATCACTAAAAGCATTAGAGGAAAATATTCAATTCAGTTTCAGGTAGTAGAAATGCACCCCCCCCCCAACCCTGTTCCCAGCCCCACCCCCACCCCTACCCCCAACCTGTTATCATTATAGGGAGGACAGAGATTATCAGACATTGGAATGTGAATTGAATGAACACATTAAGACACAACTCGTTAGCTAAATAATTCTGGCATTAGGTATAACCACATGGCTTCATTGGAACCATTCAAAAATCAATATTCTTTGTAAACCCTATAATGAGAAATTTAAAAGTTCCTGTTCTAATTAATTGACCATTAAACACACGGCAGCAAGCAAATTGCTGATACAGAATGATGTACCATGGATCCAATCACAGTTGGACAACCTAGCTCTATTGACCAATAATATACAGGGACAGGGGATGTACACTGCAGTGTCAGGGAGGGACAAGGAAAATGTATAAAATGAGAATCTAGAGTAGAGTGCATTCGACACAGCCCTGCATGGAGGGTCTCGAGTGCCTCTCCCTGCATGACATTGGTGCTTCCTTGCTTAAACTGACACATGCCTGACCTCTACAGTCTCCTGAAACGTATGTCCCATCTGGGTTCCCCCAGGGATTGTGAAGGATGAGTCTGGGATATTGTCTGTGAAGTGTGAATCGTTGAGGCTGTCAGGCTGTTGCTTGATTAGGCTGTTGCTTGAATAGCCTGTTGCTAGCTTCCCAAACTTAGTACAGGACCACAAAGTATATGGCCATTCTAGAGGGCAGTTGAGAGTTATTTTTTACTCACTCACAGAATGTGGACATCACTCGCTGGTCCAGCATTTTTACTGCCCATCCCTAGATGCCCTCGAGAAAATGATGGTGAAGTGTCTTCTTAAACTGCTGCAGTCCATGTGCTGTAGGTAGACAAGCAATGCCCTTAGGGAGGAAATTCCAGGATTTTGACCCTGTGACACTGAAGGAATGGCAATATACTTCCAAGACCGGATGGTGGTGGCTTGGCGGCTAACATGGAGGTGGTGACGTTTCCATGTATCCCTTGTCCTTCTGGACGGTTGTTGTTGTGGGGTTGGAAGGTACTGTCTAAAAAGACTTGATGAATTTCTGCAGTGCATCTTGTAGATAGTACACACCTACTACTAAGGGCAAGTGTTAAAGGAAGTGAATGTTTGTGGCTGTGGTTCTAATCAAGCAGGTAGCTTTATCCTGGATGGCGTCAAGCTTCTTGAGTGTTGTTGGAGCTACACTCATAAGCAAGTGGGCAGTATTCCATCACACTCCTGACTTGTGCCTTGAAGGCTGTGGACAGTCTTGGAGAGTCAGGAGGTGAGTTACTTGTTGCTGGATTTCTAGCCCCTGAACTATTCTTGTCTAGTTCAGTTTAGTTCCAATGGTAACTCCATGGTTGCTCATAGCAGAGGATTCTATGATGGTGATGAAATTGAATGCTAATTGAATGGATAGATTGTCTCTTATTGGAGATGGTTGTCTTGTACTTGTGCGATGTGAATGCTACTGGTCAGCCCATGCCTAGATGCTGTTTAGGTCTTGTTGCATTTAGGCATGGACTGCTTCAGTATCTGAGTCATTGCAAAGAATACTGAACATTGTTCTCTGATGATCGCACGTCCACATTGCTGAGAGTCTGGAGTCAAATGTGGACCAATCCAGGTAAGGATAACAGACTTTGTTCCTAGATTTCCAGATTTAAGATATTGTATTTAAGTCGTGGCATGTCGCACCAGAACATTACTTCGGGTTTTTAAATTTCTAGACCAGTAATAGTACCTCTCTCAATCTCACCCCCACAATCCACTGCATCTCCCACTAACCCATTCCCCCTAGCCCACCACCACTATCACTTAACGCATTTCCGCATGCTGCATGTAAGTCACAAAGTTCCAAAAAGTCAGATCTTGTTAATAACAACCTTTAGATATTATTCCTGGTTCTATAATCCCCACACAGCCCAAGAAAAGAAATCATACCATCAATGATAACCAAGGGGAAGAAGTGCAATATGGATAGTTCAAGTAAAGTACAACACTAATTAAAAAGCTTCACTTACCAGACAGCAAAAATATGACTCCCACAGTTTTATACCTCTCACGATTGTCACAAAATATGTTAAAAACGATGGCTACAGATCCAATTGAAATACATATCACTGCCAAAAACATGAATGCACTCCACCACTTACGATAAACTAGAAAAAGAGAGTACAAATTGATCACATGTAGCAATTTTATTTCACATGTAAATACAGCTCATCATTCTGAATAAACTGAAAGGATTGATGTAACAACACCGTTGTTGGCAATGGTCTCTACAAATTACCCGAAAATCTAATGAATAGAAAGATTAGTTCACCAATTCTGCAATAGTCTTTTCTTTTACAGTATATGCAGCAGTTTCATACAACACTCCTTTACCTTCCAGAATTATCCTGTCTGAAGAATAATACCTTTGAGAGCCATAGAAAAAGTGTTACACCATGAAACATACTTTTGGAGAGAATATTAACTACAAAAACTGAAGGGTTAAGATCAGATGGAGGAATTAAACAGCTAAAATGGCTGACCCCGGTCTCCAAGCTACAAGGATCACGCCAAAACCAATGCAGGCAGCATCTTAGACACTGGGGTGGCTTTTCAAAGGATTGCCACTCTGCTCCTTTTTTGACATCAAGTGCGATCAGGCATTTCTGAAAGGAGATTCCCATTAGAAATGCAGAACTGGATGTAATTCTGTCAAGTCCCTCGTAGTGCAGTATCGTCAAAAGGTGACAAACAGTGCTCCTATTTTGTTAGCAATAGTCAATCACCCTCTTCTGTGACTTAAGAGGTCTGGCACCATAGTCACCTTGACAGCTCTTGTAAAATGGTAAGCATGTAAAGTGAGAGTTAGGATACCAGGAAGGTCGATGCCAGGTGGGTAGGATGCTTGCCAGATGGGTAGAGTGCCAGGTAGCTAAGGGTAAGACACCAGGGTGTCAGGTAGGTGCAGTGCCAGGATAAGTAGGTTTCCAGGTGGGCAGAATACCAGGCTGCAAGGTGGCAAAGGGGCCAGCTAAATGATGAGTTAGTCGAGGTGGACAGGTCCAGTGATAGAGGAGTTCAGATGGCTCGGGTTGCAGCAGGGCATCAGATCCAGTAGCAGGAGAGGGGGCTCAGTTCTATGGCAAAGAAGGGATGTCAGGCCCTAGGACAATGGAGTTTAATA